GATTCAATTCTTAGCACACTGATTAACCCCGCGTTTAGTATTTTCTTGGACGTCAAAACTTCGGGGGTAACGCTATTCAGTGGAATGGCGGACTGACGGAATGACGGAACGGGATAGTGGAATACACGGAATATTCTAAAATACGGAATATATGGAATACTCTAAAACGCAGGATAAGAGACAAATCGTTTAAAAAGCAGTCGACTCCAACAACCCTAACCCTCGCTACCGACTCGAACCTCGTGCTAACTCGAAGTAATACTAATTTTTGTTCCTCGTCAGATCATTTCTATATAATTTTACCCTCAATAACTCGAACCATGTTTTAAGCGCGTGACAAGTAAAAAAAATGACTTACCGTAATGATTCGATTTAGCGCCCAGGCAGCTTATTTACTTTTGGTGCCTCAACATGTTCAAGGGAGGACGCTTATTTGGGACAGGGGCTTATTTCTTTTTGGAGAAACAACCAAATGTTCAAAAAAAAGCTTTAATATTTATTTAAAAACGAACAATATTTGAAACTGCAACAGTAACAAATACTGCCGGCGGTGAATGCTCAATTAACGTGAGGGACTTACCTTGAAACTTGTTGGGCATTTGCCGATGGAACTTTCCTTCCTTATGTCACTTTTCTCTTTTTCTCGCAGTAAGAACAAAGTGCAAGTCAATTAAGGTAATAGATCAAGGAGACTGGAAAACGGACCAAATATCGGGGAGGACATCATAAAAAAAGATAGGAGACCGGTAGGATTTCTAAATCGATGAAAGTGCCTCACTCATTTTGCAACTTCATGTTATAAAATGCTTCATAATTTGTTTCCACGATAATATTTACGATATTTAGATAATCTGACCAATGCACTACGCGCAACTTGTCATATAACTTTGGACAGCATACCATGCACTCAAACTCTTGCGCAGGAAAGTTGCAGAATGAAATTATTTTTGCTGCACTCAGTCACATTCCTTTACAAGTTCTGAAACCTTGGCTAAAAGGTCTCTTTTTAGATCTCTAGATTTGTAAGGTATTTCGAAATACCCGCACATGTCTTTCAACATACTAACACTGAAAGATGAAAGCTTGTTGCCATGATAATATTGACAAAGATTGTAAACATCAAATGTAATGTGGATTTTTTAAGCCTAAATTTTCTATCACCTCTTCAACAGCATGGAGAGGGAAATGGGGGCTTACGGTATTGCGGTATTGAGCTTTTTTTCAAGCGTTATTTCGGTAATTTGGGTTTTAAAGTGCGGTATTGCGGTATCATTCACCCCTTCGGTATGCCTAATGCGGTTTTTCATCCTTTTGGTTAACGGTATTCAGTAAAAGAAGATCCTTTACTCCCTTCACAGTATTGCGGTACTGTTCATTGCGCTCTCCTGTCTAATGCACGTCAGTATTTTTAAGACTTTAGCTTAATGGTAAATGATTACCATTACACAATTTCTGACAGATAATCCATGATGAAATTGGTAGGGCATCCTTTTCGATCGTTGTACCGATCAATTCGAGGTCGTCTCACGTTTCCTCGCAATGGCTGAGGTTGATTGCTGGTCCATAAATCCTTGAGATAAACAAACACGCGAGATGGATACAACTTTAAGTAAGCGTGACCGAAAATAAATGCGGTATCAGTATTTGGTCGATTTCTGACACGATATTTCGGTATTTCTTAATTTTTCTTACGGTTTTGCGGTATTGGGTACCTCCCAATGCCCCCCTAGCATGGCGTTGCTCTCCAATTTAGGTCCGCTGACCCGTAACGTCCGTTGGAATGTATGTAACGAAATACATGCAGCCCACATTCAAAGCACTTGGAGTGACGCTGAATTCATCATCATTAATACGAACAACATAAAACTGTTTCACTTCACGATTTCTGGTGATAGAAAGATTGTTGTTTTTACTTATATTTCACGCATTTGTTTGGATTCCGCTCCAGTTTGGGCAAATGAACGCTGTCACGCGACAAAATTTCCAAGATTCAACTCTCCTTAGAAGATGGTAATTTCGAGTTATTTTCTTTTTCTGCGTATCTTTCACTTTCCTTTCCCTTTTAATTCTATTTATTATATAGACACGAGTGTTTTACTGGAAAATATACCACTCGTAAAATTCATAAAAACTACATCCGGGACCCGAGTGGTTTATTTTCCATAATCTCACATGTGAGTTTATAGATAACGTAATTTCGGTAATTTTCCTTCGAAATTTGTAGACGTCTTGCGTCTTTTGAATTTGACTTAAACATTTTTCAAAGTTTTGCTTATATTTTGTCATTGCAGAGCCCTATTCAGCTCAGTGTTATTTCTCAAGATTATTGTAACCAATGTCTTATACAAAATGTATTGCTGTACTGCAAATCTGAGCCGTCACAATTCCTTTTTGGCGAATTAAAATCTATTATTTTATCGATGCCTTTTTGTCTATATAATAAAAAGAACATTACACGGCGGCTTGAAGATATGAATTTTATTTTCTCGTGGCAAAAACAATATTTTACTCACTCGCTGCGCTCGTTCGCAAAATATTGTTTCGCCACTCGAAAATAAAATTCATATCTTCGCGCCACCGTGTAATATCCTCTATATCCTTCTACTTAGGATGGTCTCTGAGCGCCTAGCAAGGATTACAGTGGCGTTTACCACGCTATCCACGGCGGTATTGGCAACAGGGAAGTGTTTCGCCAAAGTAGCAAGGTAACGGTAAACACGGTAACTTTGAACGCTTTGTACAACGTCAATATACTTTGGCCGAAAAATGTTTTTCCAGAATCGTAATTTTTATACCTCCAATGTCTGATTCATCACTCAGGGGCGGATCCAGGATTTTTTTTAGGAGGGGGTGCACTCGTCTCTTGCTCTACTTCAACACCAATAAACCACAGATTTTTTTTTTTTTTTTGCAGAATACCAGTTGTATTAGAAAACCACAGGTCATCTCAGGGCGGGGAGGTGCGCATCCCCTGCACCCTCCTCCTAGATCCGCCTCTGTCACTGTGATTGCTTTCAACAGCGTTGGACTTTTGAGAAATAATTATTTTAAAATCAGCTCCAGCGCTCTATCTAATTTAGTATGCAGTATTTGAAAATTTATTTTTTATTCACTTCGGCAGTTTTTCGATGTTCATCGAATGATCTTGCATTAAAAGGCCTTTTTCTTCATCACTGTGTAGTTTTCTCATGATTTTGCGTTGCGATAGTGACTTCAGAACCGTTTTTTGCGAGGGCTTATTTTAGGCCTGATTTTGCTGCTATCAGACGGAGAAAGTTTGCGGCTCGATATTTTTGGTTTAAAGCGAAACTGAAACAAAAAAGAAATTCATTTTTGAATAGTATTCGGTAACCTCTACTTGGGAGATAAAAATCGCCCTATTTTATTTTTTAGCCGGAAATCATCGGTCGTTTCTTAGGCGCAGGGCCTATTAAATGCGTAAGGGAAAGATTTACCGACGGTTGAAAAATTTTAGAATTTACAAGGACTTGTATGGAAAACCATGCAAGCGTGACTGGGTTGCAAAAGTTGTTTTTCTCATACAAATGCTTCTAACTTTCGGCGGCCGTTGCCATCGCTTCTTTTGAGATATATGGCGGAAAATTCGGTTACCTAATTAGGTTACCCAATTTTAATATTCTCTTTCAGCTTGTGCTAACAAAAAAATTCCAAAATGAACTGTTTTCGTGTTTATCGAAAGTTGATCACGTGATGAAGTCATGCAAAGACCCTATTGCCTCAGCATTCTGCGACATTTAATTGTAAAAGAGAATTCCACAAATTAGTCTATAAATATCAACTTCAACACCCTGTACTTTTTGTTGAAAACACAATGTACGTTGTGTGTCGTTCTCCAAAAAATTTTCCCTATTTATTTTCATAAATTATGGGTGCGTATGAACGTTTATATAACGTTCACATAACGATTTATTAATTTAAAGGAGTAGCTTACGACGTTATTCGTTTTTTCTGACTGTGAAATAACTAAAGTTGTAAAATTCTTTGTCTCCTTTTTGGGTTCATTGCATCAGTGAAGCACATCAATCGGTGCATGATGAAGCCAAAGTATCATTAATTTACTTGCTTATAATTTTTGTACCCTTGTTTTTCACTATTATTATTTCATATTATTTTTTTAAACTAGAGTTTTCAGGTACGCACTTACGTACCGTGCGGACAGGTAACTGTGCCGCTCCTGACGGAACCTGATATTCAGTATTACCACTGGACAATCACATTGCACATGATCAATTGCATAATGCAAAAAAAAATTGTACGGAGCCCATTACTGTATTGGTACTTGTTTTGATAGGCAAAGAACACAAATATTTAAAATAATAGGTGGTTGAAAAGCAGCTGTTTTTCGTACTTGCGGTCAAATGCAAATTTGGAAATTAATTGTTTATAAGTTGCAGTTTTGGTTACTGAGAAACTAAACTTATAACTTGTTTTTTAACGTAGAGAAAGTTTGAAACATTAAATAACTACAGGTGTTTGCTGTCGAGCAACTCATCTTCAAGATCTTCAAAGAAGCACGAAAATGGGTCAGAGTACTTTCCAAGTAAGATACGATTGAGAACCGACAAGTTCTGTGCAATTGACGATCATAGTAATTATCTAGGAAAGATAGATGTCCTTTATTGAAAAATAATGAAAAATGTTAGAGTATTTCAATGTGTGCAGAATATTGTCGGCGATAAGTAACTAAAAGAAACTAAACTGAACTTCACGTGATTGTGTTTAAACCAAGTAGAATCAGAGATTAATTGACTCATACCAATTTTACAATATCTAAATCTTCATTTTTGGATCTGCCTCTGCCGACAAAACTCTTAAGATTAGCATTGGACGCTATAATCTGGTGTCATAATAATGCTTAACAGTTCAAAACGTTGTGCAATAATTTGTTAAGCTTACGACAATAATGTACAAAACTTTGTAGAATAGTTGTTTGGGAAGTTTAAATTATAAAGGAAGATTTTTTATCAATATTGACGACTAAATAAGTCACTTACACGTCTTTGTCTTCGTATAGGCGGCATTGACAGGTTTGGCGTTAATGTTGCTCGTAACCAGTTCGATAGAGCAACAAAATGTTTCGTTATTTCCATCTCCCTCTCATTCGATTTTGCTGCCCAACATGTCTACGACCAGCAAAGATTCAATTTTAATGGCAAACAAAACTATGCAAACAGGTCAGTACTCGGCAGTGTCCACTGCCGTCAGTATGTATCACAAATACAAAGCCGAGCATAAACTAGATATATTTGTTGGCTTCACACTAGAAGCGAAGTTAGTTTCAAGTAAGCACTTGATTCAAGTGCACTTTGAAATCTTAAGTCTCTCTGTTGGAAACATGGCTTCACACTTGTTGACACTTGTTGAGTAGATTACTTGAAGTAAAAGCTGTCAATCTCTCCGTTCATTAGAATCTTGGGACCGCTGCACGTGCACATCAGTAGTTAGTAAATGTTGCCATCCTACTCACTCACTTTTATTTCTACCTCATCTCGCAACATCGCTCTCTTGTTCACTCATTTCACAAAACTCATTCGTTAATCTCACTTCATTCAGTTCATTCAGTTCGTTTAACTCATTCGTATTGTTCCATTCGTTCTCAAGTAGTCGCTCACATTGCTCGAAGATCTAGAAATAAAAGTGAGTGAGTAGGATGTCAACATTTACTAACTACTACTAAATAAAGTAGTGATAGTGATAGTGATATTGAAGCAGAAAAATAAAATTGAATTAAAGAAAAAAATAATATAGAATTAGTAATTATGAAAGCTGGTGTTACAACGAGTTTTATTAACTTACCTCTAACAGAATTAATCGGTGGATTGACGGGAAAAAAAAGTAAAATTCCCATATATGCTTCCGATTTCAAAAGAGAGTATCTTTTCGTAAGAGGCTTAAATACGTATTTTAAGTGTTTTTCAAAAAAACTAGATTGTATTCATCATGGTTTATTTGAAAGTAACATTTCTAATACAATTAAGAAGTATATGAAAAGATTTCTCAGAGCACAAGAAAAAGGTAAGTTTACTAATATGAATAAACTTAAAATTCCAAGTTATGATATTGATATTATTCGTGATATCATATTTATTGATGAACAGTTTGAATGTTATAAAAGTCGTTGTATATGTGAAATTAGTGATGATGATAGTGATACTGATGATGAGAATGGTGGTTATGGTGATTATGATGGTTATGATGATTGGGGTGCGTCTTTAGTTGATAGTCAATTGTTTCCTGGTTTTAAAGAATTTTATAATATTTTTACAAAGATTTTTGATCAATTAAACTATAATAGTTACGATTGTGAAAGTGAAAGTGAAAGTTATAGTGATATTGAATGAGAAAAATATTTCTAAACTTATAACATTTTATGTTACAAGTTTTTTGTAAATAGTGATATTGAATCAGAAAATAAAATTGAATTAAAGAAATAAAAAAATAAAATAATAATATAGTAAGTTATGTCTCAACAAATTTTTACCGATAAACAACTTCAGAGTTTGTCTTTGGACGAATTAAAAAAGATTGTATCACAAGAAAAAAAAGATCTTAGGAAAGATTATAAGGAATTACAAAAAAAGAGAAGATTGATTGAAAAATATAGAAAATTGACAGAGTTTAGAGAAAAAGTTAAACAAGGAAAAGTTGATACAAAACCCAAAGTTGATACAAAACCCAAAGTTGATACAAAACCCAAAGTTGATAAGAAACCCAAAGTTGATAAAAAACCTCATTCTAAAAGGATAAAATCATTTGAGGATTATTTTGAGGAATGTATAAAAAATAAAAAAATTCCTAAAGATACTCCGTACTATTTACGAAAAGCTCTTGAGAGAGCTATAAATGAGCATGAACAAGGAATTGAAATTGAAAAATCAGCTCTAAACGAATTTGCTAAAAAATATATTATAAAGGGGAAACCAGATATTTTACCTTATCAGTTCTTTATAAATAAAAAACATATTATTAAAAAATTTCTTAGAAATCATCGTAATACTAAAGTAAGGTTTATTTTAGTTTGTATTATGGAAAAAAAGGAAAGGGAAAAAGATAGTAGTTTAACTTTTAAAGTTCAAGATAAAGCATATTTTAATTCTAGTACTTTTAATAATTTTATATCATCTGATGTAAAAGATATATTAAAAAAAAGTATGATACAAATTGATGAAAAATTAACTATTTATCAAGCAAATGGAAGTGGGTGGTATTTTAAAGAAATTATTCAACTAGAAATTCATACAACTCAATTAAAACCAATAAAGGGTTCTTCTTATATTCCTCTTCCAGATTGGATTATGAGAAAAAAAGCAATTGTTAGTATTCGAAATAAAGATGATAAATGTTTTATTTGGTCAGTACTTCGTTATCTTCATCCAAGAGAAAAGAATGATTGTCGTTTGTCAGATTTAAAAAAGTATGAGAGTGATCTTATCACTAAAGGAATTACATTTCCAATGAAAGTAAAAGATATTAACAAATTTGAAAAACTTAATCCAAATCTTCCAGGAATAAATGTTTTTTCAAATGATGGACAGACTATTTATCCTTTGAGAATGAATGAGAAAGATTGTAAAAATACTATTGATTTATTTTTGTATGAAGAAGATGGTAAATTTCATTATTCATTAATTAAAAACTTTTCCCGCCTTGTACGTAGTCAAATTACTTCAAGAACATATGAACCAATACAAATTTGTAAGAGATGTCTTTGTCATTTTACAAAACCAGGATTATTAGATAAACACATCAAATATTGTTCTAGTAATAAAACAGCATTTGTAAAAATGCCAGAAAAAAACAAAACTTTACATTTTACTAATTATGATAGACAACTTCCTATTCCTTTTGTTGTATATGCAGATTTTGAATGTTTTACTAAACCAATGAATAGCTGTTCCCCCAATCCTAAAGATTCTTATAACTATAACTATCAAAAACACGAACCATCAGGATTTTGTTTTTATACAAAGGGTATTGTTAATAAAAGAATTAAACCAATCATTTATACAAAAAAATCAGATGATGAAGATATTGCTAAAATATTTGTAGAAAAACTTACAGAAATGACTAAAGGGATATATGAAGATTTTTATCGTAAACCAAAACCTTTAGTAATGAGTGAAAAATCAAATAAAGATTTTAATAATGCTGTTAATTGTCATATTTGTGGTGGTGAATTAGATAAAGATAGAGTTAGAGATCATTGTCATTTTACAGGTAAGTACCGTGGTGCAGCACATAACAAATGTAATCTTATGTGTAAAAAACCAAGAATACTACCAGTTATATTTCACAATCTTCAGGGTTATGATGCTCATCTATTTATCAAACAACTTGCTAAAATAGATGGTGATCTTAGTTGTATTCCATCTACTGAAGAAAAATATCTTTCATTTTCTAAATCTATTAAAGTTGGAGAGTATAAAGATATTCATGGTGATATTAAAGCAATAAAATTTGAAATCAGATTTGTTGACTCATTTAAGTTTCTTCAAACATCACTAGCCAATCTTGTTTCAAATTTAAACCAAGATGATTTTCATATTACAAAACATGCGTTTAAGCATAATACTTCATTACTAACTCGTAAAGGAGTTTATCCTTATGATTATGTATCATCAATTGAAAAACTATCAGAAACACATCTTCCACCAAAACAGGGGTTCTATTCAAAACTATATGATGAAGATATAAGTGATGAAGATTATCAACATGCGATTAAAGTCTGGAATACATTTGGGTGTAAAACAATAAGAGACTATCACGATCTTTACCTAAAATCTGATGTAATGCTTTTGGCAGATGTGTTTGAAAACTTTAGGAAAACTTGTCTTAAACATTACAAGTTAGATCCAGCTCATTACTTCACATCTCCAGGACTAGCTTGGGATGCATGTCTAAAAACAACAGGACAACGTTTAGAGTTATTACATGACTATGATATGTTAATGATGATTGAGCGTGGTATTCGTGGAGGAATAACACATATATCAAAAAGGTATGCAGAAGCAAATAATAAATATATGGAAAATTATAATCCTGAAAAGAAATCATCATTTATACAATATTTGGACGCAAACAATCTTTATGGTTGGGCTATGTCTCAGAATTTACCAACACATGGTTTTAAAATGATGAATAATATTACAAAAGAAAAGGTAATGGAAATTTTAGAAAAAACAAATGATAGTATGGCAAATACTGGTAAGAAGGGATATATTTTTGAAGTTGATTTGGAGTATCCACCAGATTTATGGGATCTTCATAATGACTATCCTCTTGCACCTGAATTAATGAAGGTTAATGGAGTTGAAAAACTAATATGTCATTTTAAACCAAGAAAAAATTATGTTATTCATTACAGAGCTCTTAGACAATGTCTTGAGTTGGGTATGAAGATTACTGCTGTTCACAGAGGAATATCATTTTATCAGTGTCCTTGGATGGAACCATATATAAGAAAAAATACAGAACTTCGAAAATGTGCTGCAAACAATTTTGAGAAAGACTTTTTTAAACTAATGAACAATTCAGTTTTTGGTAAAACAATAGAAAATATTAGAAAGCGTCAAAATATAGTACTTGTTGATGATCGTAAAAAAGCATTAAAACTATCAAGTCGTCCAAACTTTGATAGATGTACAATATTTGATCGAAATCTTATTGCTATTCATATGAAAAGGACAGAAGTGTATTTTAATAAACCAGTATATGTTGGTCAAGCAATTTTAGACTTATCAAAAACTCTAATGTTTGATTTTCATTATAATTATATCAAAGATAAATATGGAAAAAAAGCTGAATTGTTGTTTACAGATACTGACAGTCTAATGTATCAGATTAAAACAAAAGATTTTTATGAAGATATATGTTATGATATAAAAAATAAATTTGATACTAGCGATTATCCATCAGATCATCCTTCTGGAATAACTACAGGAGTTAACAAAAAAGTGATTGGTATGTTTAAGGATGAAGCATCAGGAAAACAGATAACTCATTTTGTTGGATTAAGGCCTAAACTATACAGCTATAAAGTTGAGGGTGAAAAAGAATTAAAGAAGTGTAAAGGAATAAAAAAAAATGTGGTAAAAAAGTCATTAATATTTGATGATTATGTTAGATGTTTATTTTCTGGTGAAAAAGAAATGAGAAAGATGAAAATAATAAGAAGTGAAAATCATGATCTGTATTCAAAAGAGGTTAACAAAGTAGCTCTAAGTAATCAAGATGATAAGAGATATGTGTTAAATGACCAAATACATACTCTAGCTATTAGAGAAAAATATTAGATTTAAGATATAATAAGTATAAATAATAAATGTCATATACAGAAGAAGAAATAAAAAATATCTCAATATTTTACATAATTATAAAGTAGAAGAAAGTGAGGGGGTTAAAAAGACAAAAGTAGCTTCATGTTTAGGCTGTAAAAATACAGAATCTTTTTTCATTGATTTTGGTCAAAAAATATGTTACAATTGTGGAACAGTAAACGGACATGTATTAGGATTTTATGATGTGAAAGATTATGATAGGGTACATTATAGAAAAAAGAGTATTTATCATAGGAAGTATTACTACGATAAAAAGGTTAATAAGATTTCTAAACTAATAAATCTTACTTATGAACAAAAATGTGAACTTTACAACAGACTATTAAAAATAGATAATTACATTATGGAAAAAATTAACAAACAATATTTTAGAAAGAGAATTATAAATATTACTTATGTAATAAAAAAAATTTTGGATGAAATGGGGTGTGAAAAGTATATAAGTTTAGAGCTTAAAATAAGCCCTAAAACTTTAGAGATTTATGATAGTTGGTGGGAAACTTATAATGAACTGTTAAAATAATTTTATATTATAACTTTAATATAAAATTTTATTCTTATATATAATCATTGTATAAATAATAAACAGAGAAAAAATATATAAAAGCTTTTTTTTCAACATATAAATCTTCATTTATTTCAAATTCTAGTTTCATTCTTTCTAAAACATAATATATAATTTCAATATCAAGACTTTCATCTTCAATTTTAGATAACATTTCTTTTTGAATACTATCATATTTACTTTTGTCGTTTAAATCTTTATTAAAATCTTCATATTGCTTTTCACTGTATTTAAACGTATCAATTCCATGAATCATTTTTAAGTGTTTAATAACAATATTTTCTTCTAGTCTCTCTTTTTCTACTTTCATTTCTTCAAAAGTTGATAGTATATAATCGTCTTTTAAAAATTTATAAACTGATTTCATTGTTTTTCTTCCAAAATTTAAAATATCAGATTTTCTAATAACCATATATGCCATTTTTATTTATATTATTATATTATTCCTTTATGAAAAATCCAGTATAATATTCCAGTTAGATAACCAAGTACTTCACTTTTAAATGGTGAATCAAATACGTATACACATCCTCTACCTCGATTGTAAAGTTTATAGAAAGATTTAAAAGCTCTATGGAATATTAAATGATTACGTAATATTTTACTTTCAGTATTAATAGGTAAACCTTCTAACTTATAGATAATTTTTTCTAATGAAATATTTTTTTTAAAAGTAGTCTCATATAAGTGTCTAAATATTAATGCTGATTTTATCTCATCTTCTGAATAAATAGTATTTTTGAAAGGAGGGGGGTAGTAAAAGTTAACGTAATGAACTATTGTTTTTATCATTTTATTAATCACATATATTAAATTTATTATTATATTTAATCTCAAATCTATCTGGTTCAGGAGATTGATCAATTATCATATCATCTATTAGTTTCATTCTATCTATGAATTTTTGTTTATCCCAGTCATTTCCTCTAAGTACAGCTCGAAGTTCAACAAGAACTTTTTCATAAGTAGTGTATGCAATTTTTGTCATCTCAATTTTCTTTTTATAATTATTTTTTTTTGCAACTCCTGTCAAAATAATTCCAGCACCATTTATTACTCCTAGAATAACAGGATTAAGTGTAATTCCACCAGTAATAGTTCCTATTGAGACTAAACATATACTAGATATTGTAAAAAAATTATCAAGAAATTTATAACTTTTATAAGACCTCTTAAAACACCAATATTTTTTATGGTAGTAACTGTAAAAATCTTTTAGTGTTTTAATACCTGATTTTGATAGAGATGGGTCTATGTGATTAAAATCAAAGATATCCTTCATTTTATTATTTTATATATATAATCTTAGTTTAGTCTATAATACATAATTTCCGTTTATCTTTTCTTGTAGTAATATTTGATGATGTACTGAAGAGTTAATGTCGTAAAAGTTTGGAGAGTACATAAGTTTTTCTATCACTGAATCTTTACATAAAAATTCAAATTCAAGGTTAGCTGAAGTTCTTACAATATTAGCGACTAAGTCTGCGGAATAGTTACTTATATTAACTTTTGTAATATTATCATTAATACTTTCTGTTAACCATAAAACTATTTTTTTCCACTAAAACTACCTGGTATTGCTAAATTTTTTCTTACATTACCAATAGTTATGTTTAGTGAACGATTTACATATAAATATAATAAAAATAAAAGTTGTTGTCTTGAATTTGCATTAGTTACATCATATTTAGTTATATGAAAATTTTTACTTTTAAAATGAGAAAAAACAATACATAAAGTGTAACTTGTATTTTTAATTGGTGGTTTAAAAGAAATCTTATAATCATTTATTCTTAATCCAGTTTCTTTTATGTTATCCATTGTTTTACTTTGAAATGTAATATTTTGTGCAGAATTTCCTGTAATAGAGGACAAAGCATTAAATACAACACCAATTGAACTTTTATTTAGAACATAATTGTTTGAATCGCTAAAGTCAAAAAAATGATCAAAATATTTTCTATAAACATAATTTTTTATAAAAGGTAAATTTTTATTTACAATTCCAACTGTTGCTGTATTAATTTCATTTACCATTCCAACTGTTGCTGCACTATTATTATTATTTTTATCAAGATTAATGTTTAATATTTTTTTATTATTTGTATTTATGTCAACATTGAATGTAACTTCTGTTGGTTTGATATCAAATGCTGTGTGATAGTCATAAACTTTATCTGGGTCGATATTGCTTACTTTACCCACAATACCATAAGTAACAAAATAAACTCCTGAAAACTGTCTTGGATAAACAGACAGGTCAGTTCCTTCTTGTGGTATATTAACAAGAAAATGAAGAAAGAACCTATTACCAGTTGACAACTTTTTAAAATTAACTATTATTCTATGGTAATACATATATTGTGTTTGATTTGTTGCATCTGTATATCTATGACTAAGTTTTTTTACACTTACATTTTCAATTGATAATCCTGTTGAAGTTCCTTTGTCTACACTTATTTGAGATTTATGCCAAAGTTGATAGTCAGTGTTTAGTATTTCCAAACATAGTGTGTAATCAACATTAGCGGTTAATCTGTAAAAGTTAACTGACATTTTGTACTTATATCCACCTTGAGAATTTTTGTTTATTTTTACATAAATTACTTTGTGGTTATAGTTATGAAAATTACCTTTTGAAGGAGGTAAGTCTGCTATTTTTGATATAACAAAACTAGTTCCAGTATCTATTTCATCAGTCCATTGTGCTGCATTAGACATAAGAAAAGTAAATTGATCGTTGTAATGACTTGGTTGAACTGCAGTGTGATGAATTAGTTTGTCAGCGTAATCTTTATTTACAGCATCATTGTCTTGGGTTGGATTACTTAAACTAATAATTTTTTTATTGTTCATATTTAAGTTTCCTCTCATATAATCCGTTCCATCTTTTTTAAAATAACCTGTTGTAAATCCTTTATCATCCACATACTTTTTGGTTGCAGCATCTGTATCATTAAAAGGTGGTCTTAGACCAATTATAGGTTTATTATTCATGTTAAGTGAGTTTAACATTTTATTTGTTCCACCAACATGTAGATACTTTATATCTGTAAAGGCTAATGGTGTTGGTTGTTTAGGACCCATTGGAATTGGTAGGTTTAAAATTCTATGATTATCCATGTTAAGATTACCTTTCATTGGATAAGATCCATCTCTATCAAGAAATGTATTGTCTACATATTCTTTTGTAGGAGGTTCTTTTGCATCCAGTGGTGTGCTTAGATTTTTAATTCGGTATGTATTTTTCATATCAATGTTTGAATCAATTGTTAGGTTTGATGTCGAGGTGGGTTTATCATCCACATACTTTTTGTTTGCTGCGTCATTATTAGCTGTTGGTTTACCAACATTAGTTATTTTATTATTATTCATACTTAAATTGCCAATCATTGTTCGTGAACCATCTCTGTTAAGAAAATTACTGTCTGCATATTGTTTTGTTGCTGGCTCATCTGCATCATTTGGATGTTTAAGGTTTAAAATACGAAATCTATCTTTCATATCAATGTTTGAATCAACTGTTAATCTTGATGTTTTGGGTGCCCCGCTAGAATTATCATCAACATACTTTTTTGTAGCAGCATCAGTATTAGCAGTTGGTGAACCAACATTTCTTATTTTTTTATTTATCATATCATAATCACCATCAGAAGTAAGATTAAATCCAACTCCTGGTGCTCCTTGAATTCCTTTAGCAAATGAGTTATCTTTTTGTTCGTTAAATATTCCCATTTTATTTATTAGTTTAGACTACTAGTAAAGTTTTTAGCAATACGTTTTTTAGGCTTATCAATGTACAAAAATGTAAATGGTTTTTTTGTTGCTGTTCTATATGTTTCTTTATCAACTCCTAATTCTGATGATATACGATTTGCTTCCCTCGATGATGGAAATTCGTACAGACAGTAGTGAGAACAATTTAATCTAATATCCTTTGGAGTTTTGTAAAATGATTGACTTAGGTATATTACAGAGCAATTCTTATGACGTCCTTGGATAAAATAATCAATAAGTTCTCTTTGATTTTTATCACAAACGTAATCATCAAATATCACAAGTTTTTGATTATCCTCATATTCCATTTCTGTCACTGGAATTATTTCATCATTACTAACATTTAGTATTTCATATCCCATTTTATGACTTAATTCTCTCATTTTTTGAATTAACTTTTGATACTTATCCTGTTCTAGATTACGTGCGTAAAGATAAATCTCATCATAGTATAGTAGTGGTTTAATTAACATATGATAAAGCAAATTAGTTTTACCACTTCCACTGTTTCCACAGATTAACATTCGAAATGTATCTGATGGCATATAAGGAAATAACTGTTTATATTTTTTTTCTGGGTCATCGACACTATCATAATTTGGTATTTCCATTTTTATATAATAGTTATATATTTATTATATAAAATGGATATTGAAGAATACAAAAAACTTGCAAGAAATAAAATTGAGGCTGATGCTTTAACTCAGCAGGTGAGAGATGTTATAAAAGAAACAAAATGGCAAAAACAAGATATGAGAGAGGGGTTTACAGAAACATTTAAACCACTTATTGAGTCTCAAGAGAGTGTTAAAAAAAGTATTGATGAGCAACAAAATAAAACTTTAGAACAACTTCAAGCTAATCAACTTGCTCTTACTCAAGGACTTAATCAAAACAGACTTGCTATAACACAAGGATTAAAAAAATTGATTGAAGAAAAATTTGAAGACGCTGAAGAAGGTGTAGAAGGAGCAGAAGGTGTAGAAGGAGCAGAAGGTGTAGAAGGAGCAGAAGGAGCAGAAAAAAGTACACAAACTGATCAGAATAAATATTTTGATTTTGATTTAAGTTATTTTAATAATAATTTACAAAATAAAGATAGTATAGAAAGATTAAATAATTATGGGTATGACATTCTACCTCTTGATTTTTTAACATCAAGTGATGAATATCTTTTAAAAATGATTGATCATGTTAATATACAAAAAAATGAATTAGGTATTAAAATAATTAACACTTCTATACCATTAAAAAATTATCAAGGTTACGATTTAAGACAAGCAAAAAGTGATAATCCGCGTAAAGAAACTATAGAAAAAATAAATGATTATAACGTATTATCCACATATTATAAAAATTTAACTGATGTTTGGAGTTACAAAAGAGAACAAATTAATAAAACTGGAAGAGGAATTACTCTCTTTAACAACCCACATCAACTTCTAGACAGACTTGAATTACTCGGTGGATCAATTCTTGCTGGGAATAATGGTGTGATACCTGAGTTTTCTAAATTAGCACATCTTCTAAACCAAATGAAAGTAATTACAAAAAAACAACTAAATGATTTAATAAAAACTTATATAACAATTAGATAAAAAAAAATGGAAGAACGAGCTATTCACATTTCTTCAATAAATAGGGAAAAAAGAGGAACAAGCAAACCTGGTGATTTTACTATTAAGTTTAATCCATCTTTGAAACTTGATCCTGAAAAAAAACATCAACTTGCTCTTGATAGGTTGTCCATGACTTACTCTTGGTACAACATTAGAAGTGATTATAAAAATAATAAGATTAAATATACTCACGATGGATCCACTTGGCAAACAATTACTTTTACAGATGGAATGTATTCATACTCAGATATAAATGATTACATTCATCAGTATATGGATCAAAAATCTCACCACTCATCAGGTTCAAGTGGAAATAAATCTTATTCAATTAATATAACATTTATACTATCCACCTATCGAGTGTTAGTATCAATTGAGGGTGATTATCAATTAGATCTGAGAGGAACAGAATTTGGAGACCTTATTGGATTTGAAAAAAAACTTATTACAAAAACAGAGTATGGAACAAAATTACCAAATATAACAAATTCTATTGATGTGTTAAATATTAACACGACCGCAATAACTAATAGTATTGTAAATGGAATAAATACAAATACCATTGCTGTGGTACCAACTGATAATTTAACAAGATCTTTTCCATTTACTTTCGAGCCTAAAAGACCTTTGTACTGTGATATATCTTCATTTAACATTGATGAAATGAGAATCTATGTTACAGACTCACTTGGAAGACCAGTAAATTTTAATGGTATAGATTGGTATATGACTTTACTACTCCACTCGATGTAATAATTCATATTTATATAACTATTAAAATAAAATGATGCGACAATCAGAGTTTAAAATGAAACTTGACCCTGAATTGGGTAAATATAAAAGACAACATATTTATGGAGAAGGAATGATGGATGGGTTTAAATCGTTTGGAAAAAAAATATTTGGAAAGACAATGAAAAAAGCTGCTAAAAAGAGTGGTGAAAAAGTACTAACAATGGCTGCAACAAAAACTGGTGAACATGCTGGCAAAAAGGCTGGTGATAAAATAGTGCAAATGTTGTCTAAAGAAAAGGCTGCACCCCCTGCTAAAAAAGTTACTTTTAATAAAAATGTTGAGAAAATACCAAATGGGGGAAGCCCCGCTGCAAACACTCAACAAGAGGTAAATGATAGAGTTCTTGCAATTCTTAGTGGAGGTTCAACACGTAAGAGAAAATTATATAATTATTAAAATAAAATGAAGTCTTTTAGAAATCCAAAATATTTAGAAAGATATGAAGATGTTGTTTTTGACCTTGAACAGGCTTTAGCAACACCTGCAAATAATGCTAATCAAACTAAAACAGGTCATAGATTTGTTGCTGATAACACAGGAGAAGCTACTCCTTTTGACTGGTATAACGCGCGATTTTCAGTAGATTTCAAAGTTAATCAACTAGCCGCTGGAGCTAATATAGATGCAGATGGAGATCAAATGGGAATAGTAAATGGAAGTAGTTCTTTCATAAAAAAGTTATCCATCCTTGCAAATGGTAGAGATGTTTACAGTTGCAACTATGCTAATCATGTAGTAAATATTAAGAATTTGCTTGAGTATAATCCATCTTATGTTGATAGTGTTGCAACAAATGAATTTTACTATCTTGATACATCAAGACATGCTGAAAGACAAAAATTTACATCAAGGAGAGTAACTCACAGGCAAAATGCTGCTGGAAACGCTGATGAAGCTGGTAATATGTTAGATGCAGTAGTAGCTAATTATAACAAAGGTTTTTCATTAAGAAAAGCACTATTAGGCGACTCAGCAACAGTACGATGTGAAATTCCTCTTAACAGATATTCTTTCTTTGAATCATTAGAGGACAAACTTCTTCCAAATACAAAAATTGAGTTGAATATAGAACTAGAATCGGATAACAATCTTATCTGGAGAAATGGAGGTAACGCTTGTAGAGTTATACTAACAAGATTTCAACTATTTGTTCCAAGAATGACATTTAACTCAGAAGGACAAAAATTATATATGGAAAATTATCTTAAGCCCTACAAATGGGTTTATCTTAATGAAGTAGTAGAACGATCAAATAACTCTCAACAGCAAACAGGTCATTTTAGAATTACAAATGCAATCTCAAAACCTCGTCATGTATTTGTTTTTGGAATTAACACAGCCAATATTAATTCACAAACAGCAAATCCATTTTTATATAATACTTTTAATCTACCAAATACTGCTAATATATCTCGCTGTTATCTCGAGGTTGGAAATGGAAATGAGTACCCTGAAATTCATTTTAAACCAGCTACAGTTCCAGAAAGAGTTTTCAGAGAAGTAATGGGATATGTTTACGCAAATAACGACTTTCAAGGTGGAACACTACTTAATAGAACAAATTTTGGGTCTTTGTTCCCGTTTGTTTACTTTGACCTGACAAAACAAAAAATGGATATAAAAGATGGAGTTACAAAATTAGCATTTCACTACGAATTATCTGCTAATCCAAACGCTGATTATAATTTATACGCATTGGTCTTACATGAAAGAGAGGCAGAAATAGAACAACAAGGAGGAAAACTATTGTTAAGAGCATAACCCCTCCCTTAGCTACACCACATATGATTACACAGAATTTTACACAAGCTGTTATAATTACACAGAATTTTCTACAAGCTGTTATGATTACACAAAATTAAATACAAGCGTTATCAAATGATGTGTAAACATTTGATTGGATAAAAAAATCATACGATAGTATATTACAGCAGGTACATAAAACCACCAAAACATAATAATATAAATATTATAATAAAAATGACATCTTATATTAAATACGGAGTAAAACTTACAGATGGACAAAAGTCAAAATTGGCTTCTGCAATATTAAATAAATCACCACTAACTCTTCGGTTAAAACATGGACATCTTCGAGGTTCTGATGAGTTAATGCTAACAAAAAGACAAATTTCTAAAATAAAAAAATCTATTGCAAATGGTACAGGATCTGATATAAAGATAAGTAAAACACAGATTAGACGTTCTGTAAAACATGGAGGAAACTTATTTTCATCACTCGCATCTCTTGGAGCAAAAGTATTACCTTACGCAATAAAAGGAGTATCAAAAGTTGTTCCTGCATTGGCTACTGGTGCTGCCACTGCACTTGGAGAAATTGGATTAAATAAAATTTTTGGAAAAGGAATAACAATCCCCCATAAATTTTTCCCAATGCTACCACCTATTGTAAGAGAATTTACACAATCACAAATAAATCAAATTAACAAAGCACATCAAACAGGTGGACGATTAATTATTAAACCAACTCGTAAACAAATAGAAGGAGGATTTCTTGGAACTCTTGCATCTATTGGTATACCAATGGCAATTAGTTTAGTATCAAAAATGTTTGGTGGGGGACTACAAGTTGATAGACGTGGAACATCTAATACAGCAAATGTTTACGTTCCGTCTCCTCCTCCATCAACACATGGAGAAGGTTATCCTTATCACTCACCACCCTTTATCGGTACATGGGGAAACCCAATTGGAATGGGAGTTAAAAAAAAAAAGACCAAATCCAAGGGTTCAGGACTACTACTAGGAAAAAACAGCCCATTCAACTCAATTCCCATTCTCGGCTCCATTTTGTAATTAAACCTTTATCCAACTTTGACCTCATGGAATGGATAAAAAGACTTGGTATTAAACATTTCAGAGGAATATATAGTCGTGATGTACTACCAAAAAAGATTAGAAAAGAATGTGGAATAATTAATCTAGATGATATTACAGGTCCTGGAACACATTGGGTTTGTTATAGAAATATAGACAATTTAGTTGAGTATTTTGATCCATTTGGACTAATAATGCCAAATGAAGCATTAAGATATTTTAATACTTCTGGAAAACAAATAGTTTACTCAATGGATGAAATACAAAATCGTAATACTGTACTTTGCGGATATTGGTGTTTATATTATCTGTTAGAGAGACAGAGGGGTAATAGTATTCTAGATGTAATACATAATCCTCATTTTGATGATGACAATAGTGATTTTATAAAAGCATACTTTGGAGGATAAATATAGTTTAAACACATAAATATGAAAATAAAATGGATAAAACATCAGGATATATATACATAGCAGAAGATAAATATGGAGTATACTATGTAGGTAGATCACCAATACCTGCTCAACAAAGAATAAAGGAATTAAACCATCCAATGAAAGGAAGAGAACCAAAAATAATTCAGCAAGAGCCTTATTACAATTTAACTCACGAAGAAATAAACAATCAAAAAAAAAAACTTATAAAACAACTAAAAAAAGAAAATAAAAAAATTTTAAACAATTTATATTTATTATCCCAATCTCCATTTAGAAAAGTTAAAATTTATACATATCACTTTCCTGATGGTAAAGTATATATTGGATACACAAGTAGAAGTTTACATGAACGACATCAAGATCATAAAAGATGTACGATAAGTCCAGTCTATAAGCGTTTAAAAACCAATGAAGAAGTAATTCCAAAATATGAAGAAACTGTTGAAGTAGATATAGATAGTGATGAAATATATAAAATACAAAGAAAAATCCTAGATAAATATACTACTGATACTAATCAGATACTTAATCCAAATTTATATCTTTTTGGTTATTAATATAATATTTATTAAAATATTATATTTAAACTTCTTTTTTTTCTAACTGATTAATATAATATATTATATCTTTTAATCTTTGATATTTAATTCTAAGATTTTCATAATCTTTATCTTTCATTTCTCTTGAAATATTATATAAAAAAGAAGAATCATCAATATGTTTACCCTCTAACGAAATAATACATTTTTCAAAAAGTTTTTTTCTAATTTCATCCTTTTCACTGATTAATGTTTCATTTATTTTAAATAATTTAGCTAAACTTTCTTCCATTTTATCTTATTTATTTTATTTTTAACCCATTTTTATTCACTATCAACTGGTGTATTCTTTAGTAGTTTAACCTTTGAAACTTTTGTGTTTAAATCTCTAACACTATCAACTATTTCAACAAAATTTAAGTAAATGTCAATAAGACGATAAAGTTTCTTCTTTTTATCACTATTTAAACTCAGCCATGAATATTCCTCATTTCTAATTTTTTTCCACATTTCACATTCAATAACCATTAGCACTCTTGAAAGATTATCATTTTTCTTTCTAAGACTCTCCATCTCATTATATATTTTTGTTCTCACTTCTTTTTCAAAATCCTTGATTGTTTTAACATCAATATTTTTCTCAATCTCAGAAAAAAATTTAGCCTCCATTTATTATATAAATAGATAATTACCTTTTACAACTTTGTTAAGAGTATTTGATTTCTCACTTATTTCCATAAGCAACTCAAATATCTTTATAAATTTATTATCATTTTCCAATCTAGAATGATCAGCGTATTCATAACTCATATTAAGGTTATTATATATCTTTTCAAGCTCACTTTTAAGAAAATTAGATCTAGTAGTCATATTTTTATCTAAGCATATATTAAATGAAAGAATCATATTGCATTAAAGATAAAAGAGTAACTCCTTGCACAGAACCAAGTGGTTACCAAAAAGATAAAAGAGGAAGAACTCAATTCTTCTGTCATTGTGCAGTTTGTGGAATTAAAAAAGTTAGATACGTAAAAACTGGAACAGCTTCTCAAACTGGAAGTGGAAAAAGAAAAACTAAAAAAAAGTCAAAAAACTAATCAGCCCGTCTGAAGGGGCGGGCGTCTTTGATACTGTTGTTGGTACAGCAGTTGATGGATTTGTACATTACGGTTTACCTTGGATGGGAAAAAAAGCAGTTGAAATGGGTAAATATGGAGCAAGTGAGTTAATGAGAAATAAAAACGTTCAAAAGAAAGCTGTAAACTACGGAATAAATAAACTTACTCCATTTATTCAAGATTCTGTTGGAACAGCAATGGATCAACTGTCAACAAAAGTTAGACCGAATAAAAAGTATAAAACTGATCGACTAGAATTAGACGGTAGATCTGGAAAAGGATTTGATGTTCACAAATTGATTGGAAAACTTCCAAAACCAAAAGCAGGATGGACTCCTGGAAAATATAAGTATATGGGACCATACAATCCTCTAGAAAAACAATTAAGCTATGATCGTGAAACTGGAAAAGTGACAGATTGGAAAGTTAAACCTTATAACAAAGTTGATGAAATAGCAGCTTATCACGATATTTGTTACGACATGGGTAGAAGCAAAGGTGATTGTGATAAAGAGATGGTAAAATCATTAGACGACTTACCATATGGTGAAATGCCAAAGTGGGGTTCAACTGCTAGATTCTTGATTAATACAAAACAAAAACTTGGTCTTGGTTTAAACGCGAGACGGCGTTGAGTAGTGATTGGTCTCAACAATTAGCCGACGAACTTCACAAACCAATCACACGAAACTTTCAAAAGAGATCAGTAGTTTCAAACGGAATTGATGATATCTGGGCTGCTGATTTAGTTGAAATGCAAAAGTTTAGTAAGTGGAATAAAGGGATTAAATATTTGTTAATGGTTATTGATGTGTTTAGTAAGTATGGATGGATTAGAGCTTTGAAAGATAAAAAAACTGAATCTGTAAGTAAAGCATTTGAGAATATATTCAAAAGTAAACGTAAACCTCAAATGTTATGGACTGATAAAGGTTCTGAGTTTATAAGTAAACATTTCAAAGATTTTTTGAAAAGTAAAGGAATTAAACTGTATCACACTGAAAACGAGGAAAAATCTAGTGTTGTTGAGAGATGGAATAAAACAATGAAAAACAGAATGTGGAAGATGTTTACTGTGAATAATAACACTGTTTACTGGGATAAGATAGATAAACTAGTTGATGATTGCAATAATACGAGACATTCTAGTATAAAAATGACTCCTATTGAAGCAAGTAAAAAAAAGAATGAGCGTAAAGTTTGGTCTAATTTGTACGGTGATTTGATTTACTTGAAACCTGGTAAACCAAAGTTTGCAATTGGTGATCATGTTAGAATTTCAAAATATAAGAGGCAAGTATTTGATAAAGGATACACACCAAACTGGACAGAGGAGATATTTGTAATTGATAAAGTTCTTCCAACAAAACCTGTTACGTATAACATTGTTGATTTGATGGGTGAAGAGATTAAAGGTTCTTTTTACGAGCAAGAATTACAAAAAGCAAAACAACAAACATATAGAATAGAAAAGATTATCAGACGAGATAATAAGAAAAAAATGGCATTAGTAAAATGGAGTGGATATCCTGATAAATTTAACTCATGGGTAAGTTTAAAAGATTTGGTTGATTTTTAATACAAAATAATGTTGTATTAAAAATAAAATCTTATTATTACTCTTCATCACTAAATTTTTCAAGTAATGCTTCAAGACCATCTTTTGTATAATCACCCTCACTATCACTCTCTTCCTCTTCAATTGCTAGTAAAGACTCTCTAGGTTTGAGTGGTTTAACATAACACTCATGTACTTTTATTTGTAAAGATGTTACAGTTTTACTTATGAATATTCCTTCAATTATGAGAGCCAATTTAACATTACAGTATTGATTAAGATATTTAAAAGGGTTTAAATCGCGACCACCCTTTCCCTTAAACAAAGATAAAATTTTTTTTGTTTTTTCTGAATAAATAAGTTTTGCGTAGAGAACTGGAGCTGATGATTCATCTTTTTTTGTTTTCTTTTTTCCTTTATTGTCTGTGTATTCTATTTGTTTATGGTAAAGTGGTGAAGATAAACTTGATGCCATATCAGGACCATATTCATTTTCTAAATATTGTTGTGATGCAGTTGTTATATTATTAATAACATCAAAAAATTCTTTTTCTTTAGTACTCGGTTCACTATCCTTAGACCAAAGACATACTGGTAATGAGTAACCTACTAACTTTTTTGTATCTTGGTTTTTCTTTTCATTTACTCCAAAAGAGAAAAGAACTGGAGTTTCTATTACAAGTGGACCTTTTTTCTTATTTGGATATTTGATTTCAATTGGAATACGTTTATATTTGATTTTGCTATCTTTTACTTTGTACTCTTTGCTATCATTAAAGATAATATTGTCTTGGGTAATATTTTCGTAACTTGTCAACTGCATTTTATTAAATATTTAGTTAATCCTTAAGCCATAAATCATTTTTTTTGGCTACCTATACCCCAAAGAAGCCTTGTTGACCAGAAGTTACTCGATTCTGGATTAGTATAAGTTAATTCCCCCTGTTTATTTTTAATCTTCATAGCACGAGACAGATATTTATCTCTTCTCTCTTTATCCTTGTGAATAGTAAAGTCTGGATATTTAGGTGACCCAAAGTGAACTTTCTTTCCACCTGGAAGTGTAGCCATGTATTTACTATTTTTACGTGTTGAATAATCAAGTGATTCAGCACCGAGTTTTTTAGCATTTTTGGTTAATCTCTTAAAATCTTGTCCTTCAAGAATGTATCTTTGTGGTGGAATGTAATCTGGATCCTTATCATGTTGATAACCATCATCAACTATAAAATCCAAATCCTCTTTAGTAGGAGTAGTATCTCTCGATCTTGGTTCCATTTTATTAGTTGGTTATATTAATCCTAATTCTTTTTATAAAAACTTGTAACATAAAAATGTTATAAGTTTAGAAATCATCATCACTATCACAATATTCTATTACATTAATCTTATCAAAAAAACAACAACCAACTTTGTAATCAGTAACAAGTCTTGTGCCTTCGTAACATAATAAATCTGTTGCATTTTTAAACAATCCATCCATTTCTTCCCTTGCATCATAATAAATTTCTTCTACATTTATTGTTTTAACATTATTAAAAACTTCATTTAAATCAATTATACCATCTTTCACTGATTTAACTATTTGAGTGATATTTTTATCAATATTTTTAAATATTAAATAATCTTCTTCACTATCAAATATTAATCCTCCAACTTTGAACGGATTACAATTATTTGATTGAGTTGTTTCTATGTTTTTCGATTTAAAACCCATTGATATTTTATTATATTTTTTTCTTTAATTCAATTTTATTTTTCTGCTTCAATATCACTATCACTACTTTATTATACAGTAGTTAGTAAATGTTGACATCCTACTCACTCACTTTTATTTCTAGATCTTCGAGCAATGTGAGCGACTACTTGAGAACGAATGGAACAATACGAATGAGTTAAACGAACTGAATGAACTGAATGAAAATTGAATGAAGTGAGATTAACGAATGAGTTTTGTGAAATGAGTGAACAAGAGAGCGATGTTGCGAGATGAGGTAGAAATAAAAGTGAGTGAGTAGGATGGCAACATTTACTAACTACTCACATCGTGCACAAGGCTTCCATTTCTTATTGGTAAAGTGTGTTCACAAGTGTTGCGTAGCCCATACTTGGAGGCGAACTTCGGCCTCTTTGAACTACGAACGTCTCCATGGTCACCAAGTAAAGTTGATGTAGGTACATTTTACCACTTCACACTCAAAGTAGGTTCCAAGTACTCTTACCTTATACCTGAAGATCTAGTGTGAAGCCAATAATTGTCTTCTTTCATGATCAGTTTCAACTTCCACTGGGATAATGAGCTCTTCAGCGAATCCAAGCTGGTCTAGTGAGACTGTTCTTAATTCAGGTGCCTCTATCATCAGCCAGATAACGGGAAGTACCAAGACAGAAAACAGTAAGTTTTTTTTTTACGTAGACTACATAGTTACTGTCAAACTAAAAAAAAACCGTGAACGCCTAAAAATTTCAGGAATATTGATTGTGTACTGGCCAATCGCAATAAAGTTCAGGACACGCGAGCAAACCTCGAAAACGCAAACTAAGTTATCTCGCGCCTTATTGGTTTATTTCTCGCAACACAATAACATTTCATTAATATTTCTGGTGTTCACGGTTGTGTGAGTTTCACAGTAATATTCACATTCTTTAAATTGTTGATCAATATTTGAAAAACACGCATTAATAAAATGTATTTGGAAGCAATACCAGAGAAAATGATAATTGATGACATAATAGACCATTTTAATTGAATAATTTTGTAAAGAAGAATGATTAGATGGGATTATTGCTAACCTTACGCGTATCACATGCTCATTACCAAAAGCCACAAACAATTCAAAATTGAAATTAGCGCGAAAAAATTTCTGCTTGATTGCATCCTGTAACTTCTATACCTTTTATAATTTTCCGAAATTGTATTTAAGTCCTTAGGAAATAAGGAGAAATCTTTATTTTCAATGCTATGTTTGGCATAAAAAATAAGAAGCTGGCACATTCTTTAGTTTTAATTTGTTTAACTTTCAATCCACTTCATGCCCAGCGACCAAAAGCTTGAGTGGTGTGTCAGGTCAAAGTATATACAACACTCACTTATTGTTCAAAACACTCAAATCTATCAAATCAGGAGGTATAAGCGTCCGTTAGAGTTTGTTCCATGTTGTGATGGGAAACTGTGTTTGTAAACGGGGCAGATAGTATTGAAGAGGGAAGATCTTTAGTGTTGGCGGGGATAAACGAAGCCTGTGGTCCTTTACCTCTCCAAAAAGAAGGAAGCGTAGGGCAGATAAAAAAACATAACAAAAACATAACGACAGAATGACAAAAGATCAGTTCTTAATTCATACCGTTATTTCCAAGTCGTTATGTGAACAAGTTCACACTACAAACACAACGACATAACCACCTTCTTATGCCGTTATGCCGCAAGTGTGAACCAGTCTATAGAGCCCATAACTGAATATTTTATTTGTTCTCTTCACAGATACATTCTTTGTGGAATTCAAAACGGAAGCTTCAAGATGGAATGATGATTTAACCAAAGAATATCATGATACATATATCAAGACCGCTAATATGATTGTTGAAATAGTAAGTGGCGAAAATTTTTCCTGTCAAAATGGGTACAGAAAAACCCACGAGTAAGAACCTACATTTTCTAGAGTTAGCCTAAAGAGATTCTTATTTAAATGGTAGTTAACACAATTTTAGGCTATTTAGGTTCTTAAGTAGGTTCTTATTTCTGTAAAAAAAAAAACAAAACAAAACAAGCTACAAAAACAAGATGGCAATCAGCCTATTTTTCAATTTCAAAATGCGATACAACAATATTAACCTCTTGCACTTTATTTTTTACTACATCAATAAATTGGCACTTTTATCTGCACAGCAATGCCAAGCTCCTAATTCTCCAAACAGGATTCTTGCACAATTTTTTATGTGCATTTCACTAATATGATTTTTCATTTTCTAGGCTAAACAGGTTCTTCTTCATAGGGGGTATAAATGGCAAATTTTAATTCTCAGGTTCTTACTCGCGGGCTTTTACGGTATTTCATCTTCTTGGTGTTGTCAGTCCTTGTCTTCTTCTCATTTCGTGCAGTAATTCTTTGTTCTACGTCTTGGAAAAGTCTTATTTCTAGCCTTTTTTTTCTAGTAGGCCCTCACTACGATGACAACCACAAGCAAATCTTTTATTATTTTTAATATTCTGTGATCTTTCTGTTTGACCTAATTTCCAGTAGGTCTCGAAAATTTATAAATAATTCTCGGCGATTTTAAAAAGTTTCAGTTTTGAGAGAAGGTCCTTTTATGAATGAAGTAAAAAAAAAAAAGGAAAGAAATGACGTCTGAGAGTCCACACGAGTGGCCTTTACACGTATAGTTCCGCTTCGGTTTTGCCCTGTACACATGGTAATCGTTTCTGCTAAGGATATGAAATTATCTTTTTATAATAATTAAGGTTTTTTTAGTAATATCAACCAATGAACATTTGTGTAAGGTTTTAAACTGAAGTCTTAATACCGTAACGGTAAATACAAAAATTTGAAATGTAAATTGAGTTTCTTGTCAAAGCTAACACGCGGTAAAACGTTATCTTGATCCACCCTTCTCGTCTCGCAGTCTCCTCCTACGCTTCATGAGGAGGAGATCGTTCAAGCAATTATTGCAGGTGGGCGGCCGTTGAAATATCTTAATACTGTCCCTCTCTTCCTCTGAAATCAATGTTTATTGTAACAAGGACTTTTTTTACGCTCTGGTCTATCTGAGAATCCTCGAGGACTTGCTTGCGAACAAATGGAACTCTTTGATTTTAAAGAAAATCGTTGAACGTCGTCTGACGGATTGAGTCCTAAACAAAAGGCAAGCTGACACTGTCACATTCTTACTCCGTCAGAGACTGTTTCGTCACCGTTTCAGACAATTTCCGTTTTCATCTCTCCTCACGAGTACTGACCGGAAAAGGGGAATTGTTTTGAGACTTTGGCTTTTCGGGGACCCTTTTTTATCAAGATACATGTGGACGGAAAGTTATAGCCAGTTTCCGATTCATGAGGACATGAATTAACATTGTCATACTTTACTGTATCCGTGAATTACTTCATGAATGAACGTTATAGAACTGCACGGGTCCCACTCAGCTAAAAAAATATGACTGAAAGTCTTTTTCTTTAGTAAGCCGGGGCCAGAATCAATTAATAAACTTTCCTTTTTTAGGTAGACGAGCTTCATTCAAATATGTCTGCGTATGAAGGTAGTTTTGTCATTGGTTTTAGGTAAGCGTGTTTTTAATTCCTTGTTTGTCGTTAAGGCTAAAACGTTAACCCAACTTGTCAAGTACCAGTCCTCAGTGTCATTTTAACGTTATTTTTAAAACAGGGAAGGTGTGTATGTTTCGCTAAAGCTGCAGTTTAAGGGAGGAGACACCAATAACCTCGATGTTTTCATCGACTTTTTACGTGCTGGTGGAGGGCGCTCACTGCGGACAGACAAAGTTTATCTGAAGCTTGGAAAGACAGGTAAATGTATTCATAAGACCGTAAATTGTTACTCTTGACGAAGTGAAGACAAATTTTACAACTTTGTTTTTATTACCATAGAAGACAGTCTAGTTGCCCAAAGAGGAACAGTAAGGGTAAAATGAATTTGAAGCGTTATATATTTAGGAGTATCAAAAAGCGCCAGAAACAAAGCTTTTGAGAAAATTACCTGTGTCCTTGTCTATATAAAAGACCTAAGCTTGTGTAATGTAATGAAAAGGGTTCTCCTTTGTTGTTCAGGTGTATGTCAGACAAACGAGTTGTTCTGTCATGTTCAATCCATTTCTTCCGTTTTTTCGTTCTCTTCGTTTCCTCCCTTCTTATCAACAACCTTCTTAAATTTTGCGACTTCAAGAAATTGCGCTTTCAAGAAATTTTTAAATATCTCTTTTTACCTTTCCTACCATTGTTTACTCAAGAATATACCACAAAAATATCAACAATGCCAATAAAGCAAATAATAAATAATGAAAAGGTGAATTCCTGCAGTTTTTATTCAGGAAACTTCTTCACATTGCTTCGTAAACTGTGCTTAATAACCCCAGCCCAGCTTGTGAGCGAGTGTTACGACGGCCCTTCCATCGTAAAATCAGTTGCAAAATACCGGCGACATAGCCTTAAAAGAAGTTTAGTCGCGTTTTAAAATACATTGGTCATGAGGCAGCCAATGCGACAAGTCATTCGGCTGAGCACAGAATTTTTCCAAACTTTGATTCAGGAACGGCATAAAAAAGAGTGCACTTTAACGGTTGAATACACCTGCAAGCAAGGTTTACATAAAGAAAACTGGCTCCTAGCCGCCTACGTTGAAAGCTGAATACTAGAGATTTTCTTGCTTAAACCTTCTCTTGTACCACCCAAATAATTGAAAGTTTACCTGAAATTGTAGACTAACATTATATACCAACCCTCAAAAGGCAATTATAATGTTTTATACCCGACTTGAAACCATATTTAACCATCCGACGTACAAGCCCCCCCCCCCCCCCCTCCCGAAGGTTTTTCTGAGGCAATAAAAACATCAACACCTGACGTTTTCAGCGGCTGTTGGTTTATCCTTTGCACGCATTTCAAGACAAGTTTAGTGATGATCAGTTATTATGGTTACAAGATATAACGTCATAAGGAGCGGGTGGTAAAGCCATTTTTGAGTGAAAATTCTTTTTTTCAACTTCATTCAGCGACAAAAGTAAGCCTTGAGGATAAAAGGAAGCAACGTGCTTATCATTTATGTGTTATTTTACCTGTCAAGCACAGCAAATTACCAATTCTCGCCATTTTTACCCGATTTCTAATTCTTGGTAAAATCCAAGATGGCGACCACGTTTGGTGACGTCACAGGCTCCAGCAGTGCCAACACCCATAAAATATACCTCATTTTGTCTAAAAGATCAAAGGCTTTCCACTGAAGGAAAAATCTTTTCAAGGTACTGCAACAAGTAAAAAAAACTTGACGGAGGGTTTCCAATCCCCCCACCCCCCTTGTGCCACGGTGGGTGTGCGTCCGAGGGTTGAACCAGGGAAAATAACAATCTATTCAAATTTATCTGGGTTTTCCTCTCCTCAAAACAACAAAGTGAGATCGGAAACATTTGTGACGTCCCCCAACCATAGGAAAAATGCCTGACCATATTCTAGAAAAAGATGCTACACTGGCGCTCGCTGGGCGAGTTATGTTGCTGGCCTATTGCTCCTTATGTCTATTATTATACCAACTGACGATGTTCTTTATTCACTTATAGCTGACTGTGTTATAGCTTATATTAACACGAAACTATGTGACTGCATGTCGATGACTTATAAACGCCAAATTACATGCCGTCAGCCAGAGATATATGGTGGCAAGGACTGTCCAGAAGAGTGCGACTCTGGGCATGTAATTGCAGGCTCAATCTCTTGTTCATGGGACGACTTAGATGCTATGAAGTGTAATGCTGAAAGAGTAAAGCCTTTAAGCATAATGACAGCGATTATACTCATCTACACGACATGTCTGTTAGAAGGTCGTTTGACATAATCACTCGTTTTCCCTTTTCTTGGTAAAGGTCCTTCACCAGAAAATATGTTCCTACGCAATAAAAGTTCTTGTAAAATGGCAAAGCATGCTTTTCTTTGAAGGTACAAATAAATAACAACATTCTGTGATTCTCTACGGGCAAGGTTTGTTTTATTACCTACATCTTTGGACCCAAACCTTTTTTAATCTTCCTGTTTGACGGGAGAGGGGATATGATCATGAACGTAAAGTCGTATGAGAGTTGTTCGTTTGAGCAAAAAGCCATTTTGTGACGTCCAAAAAATTAAATTTGTATGTGTAACCAAATATTGACGAGTGACGAATGAAACTAATTTCACGTCCTCATGCGAAATATCTTTGCACCAACTTGATTTAGGGAAGGGGCCTGGGGGCAACCACGCATTTTTAGACAAAAACCGTAGCCAAGATGGTCCAGGCTCTGAGATACTTCGTTACCCTGCAGGGCACCTACCCCTCTTCTATCTCAAAGACTGGATCCGCCACTGCGTCTACGACGTGAAACCTCCTAAAAAAGGTTTAAGTTTTTGTGACGTTTATAATTTGTAGACTACAAAGATCGCAGGTTTCTCAGTGAATGCACTACACCTTAACACGTACCGCACAGTTTGTGTGGGTTAAAGTATATTACAGTTATTGGTAGCGAAAAAAGTTAAATGTCTGAGTTATTTGCTGCCTTAGGACTGTCCACAAAGAAAACAAACAGTACCTTAGTTAGTGTAAAATTTTCTATCAGATATTGTGAGGAATAACTGTTCGCCCGGGCCAGATAAGAAAATATTTTATAAGCTTACGGGGAACACAAACGTCGGTCTGATTTTTCTTTTAGGCCTTCCATTAAGACAAATATTGAACCTAGAAATCGTAACCTGTATATTGCTGCTACCGAAGGGCTACGGCAACCAATAACTTCGCAAAGGGGTGTGGTGGGAGGTTCGTTGATGTAGTTTGGAAGAATTCTACTGCTATGGTCGAACTTGTTTATGGGGGACCCCGATAAACCTTTTTCATGGGGTTTAGCTTGTAATTGTGGTTGCCACTGGCAACAACCGTTTAAGCATTGCTTAAGATTTTCTTCTTAAAGGTGATTTTTGATTTACTTGGCAGGTGCCCTGCATAGAACTTCCGGTTCCGTTTGCACCCTATATTTTGGTCTTTCATTGATAGTAAAAAAACTGGATAGGAAAGTTATGTCACGTGAGCTGATTTCTTTTCGCTGATTGGTTGGTTTTTGCCCCAAGATGGCGTTGGATGGTTCCATCATAGCGGAAATTTGTGACGAAACGATGTCGAAAATGTGGCGCAAACAGTCGAAATTTAGGGTTTGTTTGCCTGCGTGTGGCTCTTTTTCGAAGTTTTTATAGTGGTATTTTAATTTTTGGTGTATTTTTTTCCCTTCATTTGTTGTCTTACGGCGATGGCGACCCTTCAAAGCCACACTTGAACCTTCGAGGTAAGCACTTTTTGTTGTTGTTTTGTGTTATTTGTCCTTGTCTTTGAGAAAATTGCGTCAAAAAATTGACCTTACCAGAGCCATATTTAATAGACTTGGCGACTGTTTTAGGACGTCTTTATTAAGAGGGTTCTTTCTTGTTTCTATTCATGACTACGATTGACAGATCTTTTAAGGATGGAATTGTGGCATAGGTATAGTTACAGAGTGAGTGCTGTTATTTCCAGCCATAAAGTTCCAATAGGCAGACTAATTTGTGTTGAGAACTGTTTCGCTCAAGTAATATCCTAGATTAACCCTGCTAATTGTTCGTAAAGCATTATGTTAATTTCGCTCATCCAATAAATACAATCGCCTCACGTCGCTCCTCGCAGCTACAATCCTGGTCAAAAAGTTAGGGTTACTTTGCGTTTTAGGTGAGGAAAATGTAATTCTAGTTTACCCCCTCCCCCCCCCCCCCCCC